GAGAAAGGAGAGGGAAGGAGGAGGAGGGGAGGAGAGGAGGAGGAGGAGGAGGAGGGGGGGGGGGGGGGGAGGAGAGAGAGAGAGGGCGAAAGAGCAATAGAGCGATAGAGAGCAACAGAGAGCGATGGAGCGATTGGGAAGGATGAAGCGACAGAGAGCGATAGAGAGCGATAGAGCGAGGGCGAGAAAGTGAGAGAGCGAGGGCGAGAGAGCGATTGTGAGAGAGCGAGAGAGCAGGGAGGGCGGGAAAGCGAAAGAGAGGTGTAACCATCGCTTGACATGTAATATCCTAATTGTAAGTCGTCGCATCGTAGCTATCGCAAGTGCGGTGCGCTATCAACAGCGAAACTGCGAAACTCACCATTCTGCTTTTCATGGAAAAGCAGATCTGGGAAGGTCTCCAGAGTTCTCCGTTTCAGTTTTGGCAGTCCGATGACGTTGGTTGCCGTGCTTCCGCGCGGCCGACCCTTGTTCTTGGTGATCTTGGCAGGTTCCTTCAGATGTTCCAGTTCGGCGATATGCCCCAGTCGCTCCGCATGCCTCGATCTGTGACATGGACAGAACCAGCACCAAAAGAGACCTGTTCGGAACTGCCAGCAAAAGGGGCCCGGCGGCCCTCCTCGGCCTCACCCTGGCTAGAACTTCCTGAGGAGAAAACGGAACGCGCCTCTGTAGCCGCACCCTGCCTGGAGCTGCCTGCGGAGGAGACGGGGCTAGTATCTCCAGCTGCGCTCTGGCTAGAAGGTCCTGAGGAGACGGTACGTACCTCTGTAGCCACACCCTGCCTGGAGCTGTCTGCGGAGGAGACGGGGCGGATGTCTCCAGCTGCGCTCTGGCTAAAAGGTCCTGGGGAGAAGACATCTCTAGCCACGTCTTGATCTGGAGCAGAATCTGAAGGCTGTGACCCCAAGTCAGCATCCACACCTGCATCGATGTCATTCGTGCAGGAATGGGCATCACCACTGCCTGCATTGTGCAGGATGACAGGTGCATACATCTGACCCTGCTTGAGGTTGGCCAGGGTGTCTTTCAAAGCCTGGGTGAAGGCATCGAACCCATCGCCTGTAAGTTCAGAACCTACTGATGCTATCTGGTTAGCAATAGCCAAAGCTCTTCTGTAGCGCTCGTGCTGTGTAAGGGCCCGTGTCTCCCTGGGCGCACTCTGAAGGGTCAGAGTCGGGTCACGTCGGGTCACTGGAACATGCTGGCTACCCATATTCCATCTGGAACTGAAGAGGGTGTCCTCAAACAAACCCAACCCCAGAACCTGGCGCACCCTCAGCATGTGCCTGCATGGGAGCTGGTATCTCCTACGAAATGAGCACTGACAGTGAGTGCTAGATGGGGTGATCGGACAGCCTGAGGTAGTGGTGCACCTAAACTCATCACCGACCCGATCCAGTTCTACGTTATCTATCACCTTTGCCTGCGCTTCGACAGCCTGGAAAGCAAATGGCGTCAGGTGCGCCTGATACACACCCATGTCACCTGTGTGGATACAGACAGGCCTTTTGTGTCACATCTTGTGGGTCTGAAACTGATGGTCGCGCCTTTGTGAGAACAGCAGCACGGTCACTGCCCCGGCAAAGTCTGGAAAAGAGGAATGCACACGGCACACATCTTTCAATTTGCCATTGAAGTTCTCCAGTCGGTTGTTGGTGAACGTCCCGTACAGGCCACCATCCGTCAGACCCCCTGACCCACTCATGGCGGATGGGGTGCCAGTTGGTGTCAAAGTACTCTCGGACGCACTGAGGCGACAGGCTTTCCCGCAGCCTGGCATATGACACCTCATCAGGAGCATTCACAAGTGACTGTAGCACATGCAGTGCACGCTCCTTCTGGTCCTTGGTCAAGTTCTGACCGACGGTGATCTCCCTGCGGAAACTGCGAAGAACATGAAACTTGCACAGCTGCAGGTCACTATCTGCAAACACGGAACGGATGGCACCTCTCAGGGCACTGTCTTTGTCGGTCATAAAGACCTTGATAGCAGCACTAGCCACCTCGTTGCCAGTCCTGAAAATCTCCAACATCACTTTGATCATGTCCTGGGTCTCTGATGTGACCAGGAACATGCCAACCAACTCGCTGTGGCCCATCCCATCCACACACATCATAACGAAGAGAGGGAACCGAGTGTCCACGAGTTTGTATGTGGAGTCAATGAGGCAAATCTCGGGAAACTTCTTGAACTTGTCGGCCATGTACTGATCTTGAAAAAGGATACCGCAGACTTCACCGTTGTCCTCAACAATAGTTGTTGAAAACCCCTGACCGGTTAAAATCTCTATGGCGGCTTGAATGTCAGAGCTATGACTTTTGGGCTTTCTCGTCATGTTGAACAGATCATGGCGTGTGATGAATTTTCCTGTCGAATCTTCCATCACAGCCCTCACGAATTTGGGATCTGCACCCACAGCCATGTACTCATTGACCTTTTGCTTGTCGTCCGGATCCAGCTGTCGTTTCTCCGGTTGCATTAGGCAGCCCGCTCTCGACGTCTCATGATTGTGTTCCAGCTGAAGACAAGGACACAAGGTTGTAACATTTGTGCATTACCTGGCAGTGGACGGCAATCGCCTCAAAGGAAGTAGAAATGATCATTGGTTAGTGCCATGTGTGACATGATGGTAATACGTTTTTGTTTTTCGTTTTGTTTTGTAAGTCACGGCGCTGTGGCTAAGAATCTCTCTTTAGGCGATTCTAGCGCTGAAGCCAACACATCGAAACCACTTTTGTATGCCGTCGCTGATGTGCCTGGTATCTTCATGCCCACTATATTTTGTGTCATGGCCGCCGCTTCCCGTGGTTACCACACTTAAGTTGCTAGCGAATTGACATCGACGTATCTCTTATCTCTTCACCCTTTTGTCAATCTTGCTTGTGTAGCGTACATGCGTACATTTACGTATCGACTTTATGTGCTTACGTCATAAACCGAATACGCGCCTTTCCTGACATGCGTTTTTCCAACGAGCATTAGCCTGCACGCAGATTGGCAGTCAAAATATTTGCGCAAATATAATGCCTTACCATCTCTTTCATGTGCTCTTTTGCGCTTTATAACATTTGCATGGACTTGTCATTGACAGCCACGTCCCAATATGATTATTATCCATAAGTACTCGTCTCTTCGCGAACTAAGTTCCCTTCGCCCTCTATTCTGACTGGCACGAAGCAACGATGTTTATCCTACGGGCAAATGCCCTTTGTCTTCTCCTACGTTTGTCAGCCGGCCAGATCATATATTGCCTTTCCCACCTTTGCAAACCGAATTTGGTTGGCCAATGTCGGGTTTGACTTTCATGTCAGCGTTCAAAGTGAGTGGGACTAAATATCCCCTTCCCTTACCCGAACTGAATACGAAACCACATCTGCATTGCACCTGTAGCTGAATTTGTAACGCATCAACAGCCAAACGTTGACACTTTTGAGCTTCGCTCGCCGGCGGTTGACTGCGTTCATAATTTTCAATCAATACAGATACAAAAGGACAATGCGGGCTTTGTTAACCAGTTGGTCATGACATATATAGCTCGCATGTTTCACATCTGCTTTCATTCCTTACATCGATTGCTGTATGTCGATTGGCACTCTTTTATGGTGAGCCACGTACGTCTGCGTGTTTCTTGGGATGTCAGCTGGGTGGGAGAAAATTTCGACCTCGTAAAGCTAATTGGTGCAACCTCGTTGAAGGTTCATTACCACCACCTTATTACTTGTCGAATTATGGCTATTACGCTACCTGGGTTAGAGACGTCAGACGTTACATGAAATGCCACGACGTCGCGAGTTTCTGTAGTCGCCATCATAACGCCATTTGTCTAACGAATACGCTAGAGAGCAAGATAAAGAGGATGGAAGAGTGCGTGATGGGGCCCAAAATGGGTTGACCGTGTTCTTCAGCAATTTGTGGGAGCTCAGTGCCTGTTTGCACGTATGTAACAAGCTTCCTAGTGGCATTTTGAAATGCATTTAACCTCCTACTGTTTGAACTCAGCGAAGAAATGTCGGATCTAGCCCATGAAAGGAAGAATTCCACAGCTGCAAGGGGTTTCGAAATGAGATAGCCATTTTGAAGGCAATGCAGTGCAGTTTACATTACTGTACTCATTAGGGCTTAGAACCACCTGGCCCCTGGGCGCGACGCCCGCAAACTTGTGCTTGCGCAAACTGCGTGCAAACTTGTGCGGACTATGCATGGTCACCTAGTCAAGCATAACACCATGGAAACATCTCCCGTGTGTTGACACCTTATTGCTACTGTGGCACCCAAGACCGACGTAAATATTAGCGCGCAAATATTCGTATCTGGCGTACGGTAGCGCAATTTCCGGCACCAATGGAGTTCATTGTTTATTTGGCTAGCCATAAATCACATGCGTTCAATTCATGTTTCGAACATAATTCACGTTTTGCGCTGCAGAATGCAGGAAGTTGGACAGAGGTAGCAGTCATGGTAGAAATAGGACTGGGCATCGAGCACTTAAAAGACAAGTCTACAAGCAAGCATGCGAATGCAATCGAACAGCACTAACGAATTAAGATGCAAGACACGCACACAAAATGACGTTTGGATTCTGGAAACACAGCACCAATTAGCTCGATACCTCACGAGAAGTCGAAGTTCCACAAGTAAGTCAGCCCGTCTGCAACGATGGCAATTTCGCACGTTCAGTTTGGCACCCCTTCTAACGTCATACAAGCGTTCCATCACGTAATGAAACGGTGGCGTATTGGAAAGTATTTTACTGATTAGTGAAATTCTGTTACTACAGCAATCCTAAGCACATCAAACGTTACCATCATCAGCTGTGCATCAGCTGTCAAACGCTAACAGCTACAAGTGAGTCGATTTCATCATAAGTGGCGCGTGCCTCGGCATATTCAAATAGTGGGTCATTCCCTGTAAGCATAGATGGAAAGTGGCATGTGGACGCCAAAAGAACTTTTGTCAATTATTTCCCCAGAGACATGCTGAGAAATGGCAATACTCACCATCACTTTCTGCACACAAAGCTTGCCACGACTGCAGAGCGCATACACCTGGGCGAGGCATTCCAACTTTCTCGTACTGCAAATCAACAAATAGCTTTCATTAACACGCATGATCAATGCTCTTAACAGCCACACGATTGGTGCAGCTAAGCGCTTGCCTGGTGACTTCGTTGAGTAACGGAGTCTGAATTATGGAAGCTGGAGGGAAGCGAGTCGTCTAGTGGCTTTTTTGACAGGGGTGTGCACAAATCTGACGCCAAACGGCTCTGACGCCACAGACGTTCACGCCCAAGCCATTATGACAAGACCCCGCATAACACGCTGGACCCATGTCTCAACACGATCGACGCCACCCGGGAGCGTACAGTGCACATTGGATAGCAGAAAATCGGTAGTATAGATATAGATATATATATATATATACAATGATCTATATATATAATGATATATATAATGATATATATATATATATATATATATATATATATCGACGTCGCCGAAAGCATGTCAATGACTCCTTTGCTCAGACTTCTTTGCCGTTTACGCTTACAGTCTGGCCCATGAGATTGTCTTGTGCAAGGATAGAGTCGTGGGGATACAAAGCCAAGTTTCTTTCGAAAGAATCACGTGCACCGACACCCTCCACGCTAATAATTTCTGCGTGTGAAGGTTTTCGACATGCAATCTTAATGATAACCGATTGGATTCCTCCAGTGCGGTTACAATGCGAGTGAGCCAATTTGTCTGTCAATATGCCAATCTGGCTGTACTTAGTGCTTATAAAGAGTGTTGTGGACGTAATGCAATTAGCCACGAAAGCTGCTCAACGTCATCCCTCACAACGGTTTGCGGTCGATGTATGTATCCAGCAGCTACCTTACGGCGTTAGAAAGGAAACTAGCGTGACATGTACATGTAAACGCCATTTCTCTGCACTCTTCCTCTGCCAATACTCCGTGTGATTGTATTGTTCTGAACCGTTGGGATGCAAATCAATAGTGGCATTGAGCGATATATACATGAGCGATAAGTGCAACGTTAGTATTGGTTGACTCGTACTGGCCCCTAGATCAGTGAATGAGTACGATCACACAAAATGTCTCTGCTTAGTCATGGAGGCGACCGCCAATCAGGATGTTGACAGCAGTGATAACTTTCGCAGTGAAATGAAGACTTTTCTTCCTTCAACTGATTACGAGCGACATCTTTGCTTCTTGCAGTGTGTACCAAAAGTACAGTGTAAGCACAACATAATGCAACGAAAGGAATCTAAGTTTCCTCCCAGATCTCGGAGGACTTGACTTGAAAGAAATAGTACAAATTCAGTGAAAATGTCTGAAAGTCGGGTACAAATAAAGCGGACATCGAATAGCACAAATGGGGCTGATTTGATAACAACTGTTCTTAAACACAGTCAGGAAACAAATTGTTCCCCATCGAAATATACCAGGGCGTTGTTCCACAACATGCGTTACTGAGCTCAGGTGCGCAAAATGACCCACCCGACCCAAAAAGACGCCAACAAATGGGTTTCTCTCCAAATGAAGTCCAAAGGTGCGAGGTTTGATTCCCTACGGTGCCACTACTCTTGCCAGGCGGTGAAACAGGCGACGCGATATAGCGTTAGCAGCTGAGTATGGTCTAAAGCACCAAGA